TTGAGCTTGGAAACTCAGAATGACCTAATTTTATAAACTTTGGAAAGCTAAGAAGCAGAGCTACAACTTTTATGTTTTGGGTTTTCCCTAATTATGACTAGACAAGGGTGAAAACTTGGCTTGAAGTTGTGAACAGTATGTTGGAAACTGAAGAAAAACGTATTTGGACGTGTTTCAGTATTTCTTTCACAACTTAAGCTGTAGACCTCGGATTGTGCTGATTCTTGAATGAGTAGAAAGATAATTTAAAGGGCTACAATTCATATGTTTAACACTTTTAAATATTCAGAAGTTTTCATGCTCAAATTTGGCCTGAAATATTCTCGCTGCGGCAAGGAAAAAGCTTCACCGCGACGAAACTGTGTCAGATGTGAAAAATAAAACGACACGTTTTGGCCCACTGATCGAAATTGACAGAAGCGTAGCGCCACTGTACTTGTTTCAGGATTTAGTTCCTCCGCGGAAGTCTCCGAATACAAATACCGCAACATACGTTTATCACCATAAAGAGCAGCAATGCAAACTGGATATAACCATTATCATCTTTTAAACTCGTAACTTCTTGTTCTTTTTCACCATTGCCTCCGCCATCTCAACCGACTGCCCGTTGCAGCAAGGTGAAGGGCGTTGCGCCGCTAGTTGTCGTAGTTCCAGTCCTCTTGTGGCATCAATGGTACAAGCAGTTCGACAAGATGTCGTGCCTGTGCAAAGCAGCAGTATGGAGAGCCGTCCCTCCGTCTGTTGCTATTCTAGCACTCACTGTCTCTGGGTACCTTCCAAAAAACTTTCGAACTTCTCTGCTCACCATTGACAGCACATGGTATAAAACCATATAGAATTTTATCTTCGAAAGTCCCCGCGTTTGCAGAAATACCTGTAGAATAAAATGTCATTATCTGGCCTAGAAACAAAGGAGTTTTCCCACAAACTTTTTTCCGACGCAAATGTTGCGTCAGAATAAACCACTCTCTCCACACGGTCAGAGAAATGTATTTTTTTCTGGCGCAAAGAGATAAATGATATAATTTTTAACATGTCTGCATCGGAATAGGCCTTTTTCCTGTGGTAAAATGAAGAATAATTTTCTAATCACCTTGTTTATCCAGTGTGAGTTCAGCTTGGGAGGCTACTATGTGATCGTGCCAACGATGAATAGAGGCCAAACGATCCAAGCGGCTTTTGCAGTTTTCTCCTACTGATGTAGAGACATTATGAACTACAAGAAACTTGAATGGCATGTAAAGCCTTTGCATTATGTTTTTCCCATGTCTTGAGAGTAGACTGATCATCATTTTGGTCTTTAGGTTCACTGCCATCAACAATCTGCCACAAACCTTCGCCTGTCAAGTAGTTTTTCATGCATACTGCCCAGCTTGTGTAATTGTTTTCTCCAAGAATAGTATGTGGCACTTTTGTCAACTTATTCTGCATCATAATATCATGCTTTAAACCAAGATGATTTGGAAATAAATAGAATGAGTAAAAACACCCTATTTCAATCTCTGGTTCTTCATTTGATACATTTAAAAACTAAGGAAAAAAATGATAAGGATCGATCCTCTCTTTGTTTGAACTCATAAGTCGTAATTGAGGTTTTAGAGACTTAGATAAGTAAATATAAATTAGAATATACTAGACAAATAGATCTGACCATAAATAATAAAACGTTATGTGTCATAAAATCCTTAAAAACTCAATGAGCTAAAAAAAAAAAAAACTGATAAATATTTAATTAATATAATGGTTTAAACAAACCAAAGAAACTAATGTTTTTTTCATCACATATTATACTATGATCATATTGAAAGAAATAATAATTAATACCATACATAAATTCAATACTAAGATTACATTTTTTTTTTTTTTTTTTTTTTTTTTTACGATAAACTATATAGAAGGTAAATCATATTGTTGCATATGAGAAATTCGAAACTATAGAGGTGGATGCCCATATATGTTTGCTTATCAAATTGTATATATATTTGTAATAATTAGAGATCAATTAAAAAAAAAAAGTGATAAATGATTGTATGAGATGAAAGACTAATGAATTGATACATCTGTTTCACTAAAAACTTTTTATATACATATGAATTACTATGAAGATGATTATATCAATCAAACAATGCACTACTGACATGATTTAAGAAGATTAGAAGTAAAGTGTATATATGTATCTTTCAAAAAGCTGAGGAGAGGATATAAATATACTAACCTGTGATATAAGTAGTGACTGATTAGCTTCTCTGCTTGGAGTGAAAAAATTAATGTCCCCAGTTGGCTTAAATATCATCACGAGATACTGCCTTCTATACTGAGAACACAATGAGAAGCTTTTTATTTATTATTCAACTTTTACTTTTGTACATACATATACCACTTTTTCTTTTTATTCTTCTTTCTTACGATCTTTTCTATATTATCGGTTCATTTATATGGAAAAAAAAAGGTTTCTATGTTGGTTTTACTTTGACAGATAACATTTGGATAATAAATAATAGTGAAATATTTATTCCGAACAAGCATGACCTAATTATCTGTCATTGTTGAATACTGAGACCGCAAAATGAGTTAATTTCTCCTTTTAAACCCAAAATAATAATAATAATAATAATATATAATAATTTGATCCTTCTGACCCTACAGGGCCCCAGTCTCTCTTTTGCTCTAAGAAAACACTAGAAATTATTATTGACTTCCTGTCCACGCCAAACTATTGCTAAACTGATATTGTAACATTAATTTGAACGATATAAGTTGGTAAGTGATGAACAAACTTATAATATATTATAAAGAGTGATGCTAATTGGCCCCACCTATTTCTATTAAGCCCCATTTTCAATTTTAATTAGGACAAAATGTAAATAAAAGTCAAAGATATATAAAAGGAAAGATGAATGTTGAGCAATCCCCGATGCCAATTCCCGCAGAACCTTCAGACTTGATAAAAACCTCTTTCATTTCTTCATCAATTTATTTTTCATTACTGAAAGGATTATTTTTAGCCATCAATAACTACAAAACACTCCCTATTCAGAGTTAGTGTGAGAACCTTCCTCAATAGATCCAAGATCTTTAAATTTGAATCTCTATCTTAATTTTTTTTTTTCTGATAATAACGGTTGAAAATTGAATAAAAAGCATTAAACATGAGCTTTTATTTGATTTGAAACTGGTGATTTATTTTATATTTTTCTTTCAATAAAAATTTGAATCTCACAAAACTGTCATATTATTATTATTTTTGGTTAAAGAAAAGTATAAAAGTATGGACATCTTGTCGTTAACAAAAGCTAAAGAAATGCCTCTCTCTCTCTCTCTCTCTCTTTATCTCTCTTATTCTCTTCTTCTTTAAAGTTATCTCTAGTTAATCTTAATAAACTTACTAAATAACCAAAATTAAAAAATCTTATATTTTTTTCATAATATTTTTTTTTTATAATTCTTATACTAAAAACATCTATGATTCCTTATACATCACACGCTCTGTATTCTAACTTGAATTTATTTAAAATATTTTACTTAAAAGAATGAAGCTACTTCTTCTAAAATAAAAGAATTTTAATTTAAAATATATCTACTTTTCTAAAAATGAAGTAGCTTCTTCTAAAATAAGGAGATGAAATCTATGCAATGGAAAAGCTCTTTTTACTGTTATATAAGCATCAAATTCACGACTTACTTTTTCTTTCTTTTATTATTTTAACTTGGTTTTTGCATATATCATATATAATGGAGAGAGAGAGAGAGAGAGAGAGAGAGAGAGAGAGAGGAGAGGAGAGTTTTGCTTGCATTTATTTCTATTATTAACATCATATATATGTGTTTATAATTTTTAGAACAGTGGACTAAAAGAAATTTTTAAGAAAAGATATTACTTTACATAAAGTTGTTTGGGGTTTGGGTTAGGGGTGAGCACGGTGTAGAATCGGACCGAAACTGGAATCTACCTCGAACAGGCACTGTGCAGGTAGGTTTCGATTTCGGTTCTTATGTTGGAGGAATCGGAACCGGAACCGGAACCTGGAAAAAGAACCGATTTTTGGAACCTGTTTGGAACATGTTTAGAACCTATCTTGGAACCTGGATTGCAATGAAAATTAAAATATTGTGAAATGTGAATAATGGGGGGTTCTATTATTTTACATATAAAACAATTTAAAATAAAAAAAGTTAAATTTTAGAATAACCTAATAAATAAATATACAATTATCTTATTACATATAAATTACACCTATTAAAAACTTTAATATATTAATACTAAAGTTTTGAATAATTAAGTGAATAATTGGAATTATGACCAATTAAAAGTGTTTCAATGTTATTAAAGAAGTTATTTTTGAATAAAATAGTATATTTGATTGATAATAATATAATTTAGTTATATACTTCAATTATCAAATTCTAAGTATCTAGTAAATTATAAATTAATTAATTATATATGATAATGATAACTATTAATAACCTTTAATTATAAATATCACGTGTTCGTTGTGTAAATAGCACTTGCAAACGGTAAGCTATCATAAAGATTTCCAAGGATGCTTTAGGGCCACTTCAAATATTCGCTTCTCTCATCCCATGATTCTGATGAATTATACTCCATATTATTAGCCCCCATCTTTTCTCAACTATTTAATTGAGATTAAATTGTCTATTTTAAAGAAGAAAATTTTATATCATTTCTAATATTTTTTTAGAATAATAGTAGATGTACAAAGAGTTTGTACAAACTTTTTAATATAAACTGATATATCACGAAATGAACTAATGAATAATGCATGTAAAAAATCAATTTAATAATGTTTTCTAAAGAAGGAAGATATTATAGTTTATGAAAGCCATGAGGATATGGAACTTTTTTATTATTTTTAGATAGGTGAAGAAATGAACAGATAAAATGGCATCCTGATTTGATCTTAATATTATTATAATATGATAACCCATGAATAAGTATGAATAACGAAATGGTTGGACTCACTTTTTCTGAAAGCATCAAATATCACCATAATATGTTTTCTTAATACAAGTAAATAATTGCCTCATAACTAAAGAAACCAGAAACAATATTGAAGCTCAACAACGTTAACACTCATGAATGTTGAAAACTTTCACGGTGTAAATCGGAGACTTTGGGAAGCAAACTTGCTTTCCTCAAAAGCAATTTATGAGGGTGGGGATTAAAAGGGGGAGCTCTATATGAGGATTTGATCACCTCAATGAAGAGAGGAAGATGCAAGGAAGCAAAAAGGAAAGTCGGGACAGCCACAAGCATAATCATGGGTGGAAAAAATGGAAATTCTTCTTCCACACGTTCTCTCAAGTTAATGAAGAGAGTGCAGCCAAAGGTTACCATCATGGTCACAATGGATATGAAAAGGGCCATCAAACCAATTGTCAATCTCCTCGGCAACGAATGCAGGAAATCTTCTTCTGCATAGCGCGAAGTGAGTATGCCCAGGAACATCAAAATGGAGACAGTTGCGTAGGTGAATGATATTGCATCCGATGCTGCATAAATTTGGAAGTAATATGTGTGTTCTAAAATTGGTTCTCCCGATTGTTTACTTCCTCCTGGAATATGAATTGCGGCCTCAAACATAACTGTGGCTATGAGAGTTGCAACCAGGAGACAAGATGTGGCCGTGTCTTTCATCCATTTTTTACCTTCATTTGCCAAGGCCTTGTGTTGCTCACTGAACAATGTTCGAGGCGTTTTGCCTTCTCTGTTCTGCTGTTCTCTCAACATTGGCCGCACTATATTCTCCACCTCCTGTAACAATTGAGACATTGACACAATTCAACCAAGCTGTGATTGAGGAATGAGAGTTGAGAATGATGAGATTAGACACCTTAAACCATTGCAATTCCCTCTGCATTTGCATAGCCGGACCAGGGATTTTGGTGATGTGAGAGACGGGTGCCAACATTCCTGCTATATGTAATATGTTGTTATCGAAATTGTCCTCTATAGAGGCAAGGTCTCTCTTTTCTTCTGTCTCGTATATGAGGTTCCATATTTTTTCTTGGCGTTGTGCGACTGCGGCATGGAATATGCCACCCATTTCTGTACGGGACCATAGTAAAGCCGGGTCGAATCTAATCATCTCAGTGACAAACTCAACATTCCCAGATTCAGTAGCTTGAAACATCGAAGGCATCACTAGAGATTGCAAATGTTGGGTGGAATTCAACTTGGCTATTTCTCTGCATACAAGGATGAGTATCTCCGTGGCTTGACGATGCTTGAGTTTGAGTTGTGATATGTAATTGATTCCTGCAATAAATATTCACCCTCAACAACCAAACAGATTATATACAACTCAAACAAAAAAATTAAAAATGAAAATAATTGAACTCTCTGTTAATTTTACTGAATATTTGCATACCAAGTAGCTCATATGCAGCCTCCTTAAGTCCTTTCTTCCAACGTAGAGCTGTGATATCATTGTAAAAATGGCTCATATGATCACTAATAAAGCATATTTAACCCATAAACACAACGGCAGTAGGCAGAGAGAGAACCTAAAGATTGTCCAGAGTCATCACTATCTGTTTCAATATCTGTTAATCTATCACTACGGTATTTTGTGCTGCCTTCATCATAAAGAGTGGTCACTACCGTTTCAACACGAAGGCCTACCAAAATAAAACCATCACTTAGAAATTTTCACAAACAGATTAACAAGAAACAAAATGTATAAAATACTCACGTCTATATATCCATCTTTGCCATCTCGAGAGCTGAATCCCACTTGGGAATGACGAACGTTTCTGGGCCAGTACATTCAAACATTTTCTCCCCTTCACATCCCTGTTAATGGCTAATTTCGGAAAACGTTCAAGCAGGCTCAACGCAAAACCTACATTTGCCACAACAAACAATAGTTAGTCACATTGTAGTCAATAAAATTGCAGCGACCTATTGGTTTTTTCTAATTCAATTGAACTCACTGTAATTCTCCACACTGATCGAAATTGACAGAAGCGTAGCGCCACTGTTACTTGTTTCAGGATTTAGTTCCTCCGCGGAAGTCTCCGAATACAAATACCGCAACATTCGTTTATCACCATAAAGAGCAGCAATGCAAACTGGGATATAACCATTATCATCTTTTAAACTCAGTAACTTCTTGTTCTTTTTCACCATTGCCTCCGCCATCTCAACCGACTTGCCCGTTGCAGCAATGTGAAGGGCTGTTGCGCCGCTAGTTGTTCGTAGTTCCAAGTCCTCTTGTGGCATCAATGGTACAAGCAGTTTGACAAGATTGTCGTGCCTGTGCAAAGCAGCATCTGGAGAGCCGTCCTCCGTCTGTTGCTATTCTAGCACTCACTGTCTCTGGTACATTCCAAAAAACTTTTCGATACTTCTTCTGCTCACCATTGACAGCAGCATGGTATAAAACATATAGGGAATGTTGGTATCTTCGAAAGTCCCCGCGTTTGCAGAATAACTGTAGAATTAAAATGTCATATTCTGGCCTAGAAACAAATGAGTTTTCCCACAAACTTTTTTCCGACGCAAATGTTGGCGTCAGAATAACATCTCTCTCACACGGTCAGGAGAAATGTATTTTTTTCTGGCGCAAAGAGAGATAATGATATAATTTTAACATGTTCTGCATCGGAATAGCCTTTTTCCTGTGGTGAAATGAAGAATAATTTTCTAATACCCTTGTTTATCCAGTGTGAGTTCAGCTTGGGAGGCTATATGTGATCGTGCCAACGATGAAGAGGGCCAAACGATCCAACGGCTTTTGCAGTTTTCTCCATGCTGATGTAGGAGAACATTATTGAACTACAAGAAACTTGAATGGCATGTAAAGCCTTTGCATTATGTTTTCCCATGTCTTGAGAGTAGACTGATCATCATTTTGGTCTTTAGGTTCACTGCCATCAACAATCTGCAAAACCTTCGCCTGTCAAGTAGTTTTTCATGCATACTGCCCAGCTTGTGTAATTGTTTTCTCCAAGAATAGTATGTGGCACTTGTCAACATTATTCTGCACAAATGACATGCTTTAAAACAAAGATGATTTGGAAATAATAGAATGAGTAAAAACACCCTATTTCAATCCTGGTTCTTCATTTGATACATTTAAAGAAACTAAGGAAAAAAAGGATAAGGATCGATCCTCTTTTGTTTGAACTCATAGTCGTAATTGAGGTTTTAGAGACTTATGATAAGTAAATATAAAATTAGAATATACTAGACAAATGATCTGAACCATAAAATAATAAAACGTGTATGTGTATAAAATCCTTAAAAACTCAATTGAGCTAAAAAAAAAAAAAAGACTGATAAATTTAATTAATATTAATGGTTTACAAACCAAAGAAACTAAATGTTTTGTTTCATCACATATTATACTAATGACAATATTGAAAGAAATAATAAATATATACATGACATAAATTCAATATCTAAGATTACATTTTTTTTTTTTTTTTTTTTTTTTTTTTTTTTTTTTACGATAAACTATAAGAAGGTAAATCATATTGTTAGCATATGAGAGAATTCGAAACTATAGAGGTGGATGTACCATATATGTTGCTATCAAATTGATATATTATTGTAATAATTAGAGATCAAGTAAAACAAAAAAAAGTGTATAAAATGATTGTATGAGATGAAAGACTAATGAATTGATACATCTGTTTCACTAAAAACTTTCATTTAATATATGAATTACTATGAAGATGATTATATCAATCAAACAATGCACTACTGACATGATTTAAGAAGATTAGAAGTAAAGTATATATATGTATCTTTCAAAAAGCTGAGGAGAGGATATCAATATACTAACCTGTGATATAAGTAGTGACTGATTAGCTTCTGCTTTGGAGTGAAAAAATTAATAGTTCCTCCAGTTGGCTTAAATATCATCATCGAGATACTTGCCTTCTATACTGAGAAACAAAATGAGAAGCTTTTTATTTATTTATTCAACTTTTACTTTTGTACATAACATATAGCCACTTTTTCTTTTATTTCTTCTTTCTTTATCGATCTTTTCTATATTATCGGTTCATTTATATGGAAAAAAAAGGTTTCTATGTTGGTTTTACTTTGACAGATAACATTTTGGATAATAAATAATAAGTGAAATATTTATTCCGAACAAGCATGACCTAATTATCTGTCATTGTTGAATACTTAGACCGCAAAATGAGTTAATTTCTCCTTTTTAAACCCAAAATAATAATAATAATAATAATAATAATAATAATAATAAATTAATTGATCCTTCTGACCCCTACAGGGCCCCAGTCTCTCTTTTGCTCTAAGAAAACACTAGAAATTATTATTGACTTCCTGTCCACGCCAAACTATTGCTAAACTGATATTGTAACATTAAATTTGAACGATATAAGTTGTAAGGTGATAACAAACTTATAATATATTATAAAGAGTGATGCTAAATTGGCCCCACCTATTTTCTATTAAGCCCCATTTTCAATTTTAATTAGGACAAAAATGTAAATAAAAGTCAAAAGATATATAAAAAGGAAAGATGAATGTTGAGCAATCCCCGATGCCAATTCCCTGCAGAACCTTCAGACTTGATAAAAACCTCTTTCATTTCTTCATCAATTTATTTTTCATGTACTGAAAGGATTATTTTTAGCCATCAATAACTACAAAACTCCCTATTCAAGAGTTAGTGTGAGAACCTTCCTCAATAGATCCAAGATGCTTTAAAATTTGAATCTCTATCTTAATTTTTTTTTTTTCTGATAATAACGGTTGAAAATTGAATAAAAAGCATTAAACATGAGCTTTTGATTTGATTTGAAACTGGTGATTTATTTTATATTTTTCTTTCAATAAAAATTTGAATCTCTACAAAACTGTCATATTATTATTATTATTTTGGTTAAAAGAAAAGTATAAAAGGTATGGACATCTTGTCGTTAACAAAAGCTAAAGAAGATGCCTTCTCTCTCTCTCTCTCTCTCTTTTATTTCTTCTTTTAAAGTTATCTCTAGTTAATCGTTAATAAACTTACTAAATAAGACATAATTATGAAAAATCTTATATTTTTTTTCATAATATATTTTTTTTCTAATATCTTATACTAAAAATCATCTATGATTCCTTATACATCACACATTCGGTATTCTAACTTGAATTTTAATTTAAAATATATTTACTTAAAAGAATGAAGCTAACTTCTTCTAAAATAAAAGAATTTTAATTTAAAATATACTTACTTTTCTTAAAAGAATGAAGTTAGCTTCTTCTAAAATAAAGGAGATGAAATCTATGCAATGGAAAATGTCTTTTTACTGTTTATATAAGCATCAAATTCACTGACTTTACTTTTTCTTTCTTTTTATTATTTTAACTGGTTTTGCATATATCAGTTATATATATGGAGAGAGAGAGAGAGAGAGAGAGAGAGAGAGAGAGAGAGAGAGAGAGAGTTTTGCTTGCATATTATTTCTATTATTAACATCATATATATGTGTTTATAATTTTTAGAACAGTGGACTAAAAGAAATTTATTTAAGAAAAGATATTACTTTACATAAAAGTTGTTTGGGGTTTGGGCCTTTGGAGCTTATTTGGCAACTAAAATATACAGAGTAATGCTACAGCCATCGACGATAGTGCATCAAATTTGTGCATCGAATAACGTGATAAAATCTTGACTTTTGATTAATATTTAGTTAAAATTAATCAACGGTCAGGATTTTGTCACGTCATTCGGTGCACAAATTCGGTGCATTACTGTCGGTGGCTGTATTATTTTCCAAATATATATCCTTTTATTGTTAGGTCGAAAGACTTCCACCTATCAAAAGTTTAGCATAAAGGCAGATTGATATTCAAAAAGTTTAAAAATGACAAACAAATACTTGCTGTCATATTCTACTAGAGATTTCTATCTGCTGAAAGACAGTATAGTAATTATATTCTCAACCCAAGCCCGTTTGCACAGCCCTTTTGAGTCATCAATCGATTTTTTGACCCGATTTAGTATTTTTCTACGAAATTCTGTGATAGATAGTGGTACTGGCCCTTGCTGGCGCGCATTGGGAATGGAGATCGGTGGGTATTCAAGTCTTTTCACCATTTTTGTCTTTTAACAGATGGAAATTCCTAACAGAACATGACAGAAAGTGGGTGTTTGTCATTTCTAAACCTTTTAGGTATCACTTTGTCTTTACAGCAAATTTTGAGTATGTGTAAGTCATTCCCCCTTTATTGTTATTAAAGTTGATTTTTCTATCATTTAATTTGCATAAGGAATTGTATCTTTCACATAATTAACGTAGATAAATTTTCCTCGCTTTTCTTGTTAGAAAAATTTATTAATTTCCAACAGGGAATCACAATTGAAGCTTCTTAATTAGGTTGAAAATCTACGTTAATTAAATGAAAATTCTAATTTCACTCAATCAAACAATGTGAATAAAGTTCAATCAAAATCAACAATATCCCAAAAATAACAACACATAAATTATATTATACTGAATTAATTGTTAAGAGTTATAGATAAACTTGTTTGTACCATCATTTTTTATTCTTGAATTCCTTACAAAAGAAGCGACAAGTTTTCCAGAAGCGACAAAAAGCGTAAGTCTTCTTTTCCAATAACGCACAATAAATGACAACTTTTAAAATGGGTTTCAGTTATCGGATACGTTTAGAAAGGGAAGTTAGCCAATTTAATAATAGTTTATCAGGTTCTCCCATTAAAGGTCCAATAAACCCTAAAGCCCATATTTTATCGTCAATCCAGATTAATTAAATGAAGTGTAATGGACAAAACTTTAATATAATCACATTAAACCCATTAGGATATACCAGTGGACTATACATTTATCCAGTTTTAATTAAAATAACAAATAATTAATGTTAGCCCACGATTAGAAATTTTTTTTCTAACAGAAAATGGATATACAGTGCATTAAGTAGATTAAAATTAATTTTCCTTCTTGTATGACTCTCTGAAGCACATGCATACTGTTGACACTTGATTTTGGACGCCAACGACTCGCACGTGGGTATGCTGAGCTGACTCAGGAGACACACATGAATGGATCCATGAGATTTGAATATGGAGCCGAGATTATATATGTTGCAGAAAACATAAATAAAAGATTGGAAAGAGGGGTTTTTATAGTGGTTCGAATGCTCAACAAGCGACTCCTACATCCACTGTTATTTTATTGATCTCTGACTATTTCTATGATTTTGCCCGTAAGGCATACAAAGATGAAGAAATACAGTGTTTTCAGAGAGAGAAAATTGAGCTCAAACTA